GCATCATTATCGTTGTCTTTAAATTTGACATCCCCGTATTATTCATATGTCGCCTCGTTTTCCGTGAGCGCGTACTCCTCGTCGTCATCGTCGTCTTATTTCTCGCCCTCGTCCTTCGTCTCGTCGTCCTGGTGCTAATATACCTCGTCGCCATTGTTGTCGTCCCCGTCGCCGTACATGTCCTTCTTGTCCCATCGGTCTGTCTCCTTATCCTTGTCGTCTTCTGTATCCTCGTCATCGCCATATTCGTCGTCATTCGCTTCGTTGTCGTTGTTCGCGTATTCCTCGTCGTCATCGTCGTCGCCCTCCCCCTCTTCATCGCCCTTGTCCTTCGCCTCGTCTTCCTTGCGCTTGTATTATTATTCGTCGTGATTGTCGTCGCCGTCGCCCTCGTCGTCCTCCACTTCGGATCGCCTTGCGGCCCTTGTGCGCGCGGGCAGGGTGACCCCTGAAGCCGCCGTGCATTCCTTTCATTGTCAAACGTGCCCGGAAAACGAAAAAACATACATTTCTTTTTCCTGCTCCCGAACGTCCCCAGTGTTTTTTTCTTGTCCCCCGCCTTTTCCCGCGTTTCCCCCTCTCGCTCTCGCATGCCGCCCTTCTTCCCCTTGGTCGTCTTTTTCCTGGTTCGGCGGCTGAAGGGTCTACGACATATTATGAATCTCGTTTTTTTTTCCTCGCCCTCCTCCTCCTCGTCTGCCGTCTGAACATTTTCCAGCTTGTCTGTACGCAGCTTCCCCTGTGATATTTTCTATGTTTACACAGTTGTACGAAGCATATTCCACTGCGCCCGGTTGCCAGGATTACGTATCCCATCGCATCGCATTTGTCTGCAACGAGCACCAATATAACGAAGACAATTCCCGGGGGCAGGGGTAGGAGGAAGGAGGAGGAGGAGGAGGAAACATAGTGAGCAAGGACAGAGCAGGAGGAGGAGGAGGAGGAGGAGGGGGAGGAGGAGGAGGAGGAGGAGGAGGAAGAGGAGGAGGAGGGAGGAGGCCGGGCAAACCCTGCGAACCCGGCGCGGGCCAGGCGGGCCCGGTGGGCCCGGCGGGCCCGGCGGGCCCGGCGGGCCCGGTGGGCCCGGCAGGCCCGGCGGGCCCGCTAGGATGGGCGGGGGATTTGCTTAGTCTTAGTTTGACTTACAAGTCTTTGTTAAGTCATTAGCAACTCCCCTGTGCTGGAGGAAGACGCACCATGCCGACGGAAAATGCACCATCCCGACGGAAAATGCACTATCCCGACGGAAAACGCACAATCCCGACGGAAAACGCACTAAGTTGATGATGTATTGTGAACCCCGAAGTCTGTTGGGACATGCTGAAAGTGATCGGGGGCTACCTCACGTTGGCGCAGGAAGAGATGGCGAACTGACATGTCGTGTGGCTCAGGACTGGCGCGACCTACGGTAAAACTCAAAGCGCCCCCACGGCGGGTCTGGGGCAGAGCGATGTTCGTGAAGAGCTGGCCATAATCAGTCATGGTCCGAAGCTCCTCGTCAAGGGCCCTGCGACAGCTGCGCCTGGACGCGCCCCCCCAATCCCCGCGCCATATTCAGGGATCTTCTTCAGAATCGCGCTGAGGGCAGATGCAGTCACGCATCTCGCACCTGCCAGCTCAGCCAGTCGAGGGCGCTTATACATGACTGCCGCGACCTTTTCTCCCGAGGGGCGACTTGGGCCAGAAACGGCTACGCACGTGGTTCATGCGCCTCTGTCTGTCTTGTCCCGCTTCGTGCCCCACGACGCAGGTTGCGCCATTAATTGCGCCGCAAATTGCGCCCCGATTTGCACGCTTGTTCGCTTGCAACAAACGCATTTTAGAACACGTTGCCAACCCAGTCCAGTCGGTCAGTGACATTGTCCACAACTTAGCGAACCAATCATCCAACAACGTTATTTGCCGACAACCTGTGTTACGCGCGATATACTCATGCTATGCGCGATGGGAAGACTTGATCTGAACGGGCCCGAATGCAAATGCACCGCCCCGACGGAAAATGCACCGTCCCGACGGAAAATGCACCATCCCGACGGAAAACGCACCATCGCGACGGAAAACGCACTGTCCCGCCAAGAGACTTATAAGTCAATTAGCGCACCAAGAGGAGTTAGGAACGACTTATGAAGGACTTAGTAGAGAGTTGTTTAAGACTTACAAGTCCATCAGAGACTGAGCAAGTCCCCCGCCCACCCTAGCGGCGGGCCCAGCGGGCCCGGCGGGCCCGGCGGGCCTGGCCGACCCGGCGGGCCCGGCGGGCCCGGCGAGCCCGGCGGGCCCGGCAGGCCCGGCGGCTTACGGGCCCGGCGGGCCCGGAGAGCCCGGCGGGCCCGGCGGCCACACAGAAGATTGTTATGCATTTTCGGGGCGCCCGATATTTTTGATTCTTCGCCCGAGCAAGGTGTTTTTGAGTTCTTGATCCTACATTATCCAGCCCATCTTTGCGGACTACACGGCGTCTTGGTCGGTCTCATCGCGCGCCTTGTCGATTATCGGGCGGGGCAGCAGCTCCGCGAGATAGGGCCCTCGCGTGTTAATACGAGCGCTCATTTTTTGACGTCGCACCCCACCAGACACAAACCGCACAGTAGGGCGCGCCCGTCCCGACCGGGACCGCAGGTTAGGGCTCTCTCGTGCCAGCTCTGGACCACGCCCTATATTTTGTTGTCCCGCCCGCCCGACCCGATTCGTTAGTTGCGGTCCGCTCGCCCGGACCGGCCCGCCCGTTACACCGCACTCACATGTATACCCCTGGGTGGGTGTATGTGCGGCCGTTTTTGCGCTGTCATGTGCGCGCATGTGCGCGGCATGTGCCAGTCATGTGCCAGGCCTGTGCGGTCCTTCTTGGATGGACTTCCTACTGTGCACGTCGTGCCCGGGCATGTGCGGGGGCATGTGCGCTGTGTTTTGAGGTATCCATCATACGCACATGCACGCACAGTCCGACGCACATGCGCGCACATGCCTGCACATGCGGGAGGTGTTCGAGAATCGCATATCTGTCATCGGCACATGCACGCACATGCCTGTGCAACCTCTCTTCGGGAGGCCGCGCGGGCCCGCACATGCACGCGCATGCGGTGAAGCGCGCGGGCGCACATGCGTGCACATCCCAATGCACATGCACGCTCATGCCCTAGGAGCTGTCTGGGACCCCTGTGCCTCCAATGCCTCCTGGCCTTCGCAGAGCTAACCTGGGGCGTGCCAGGGCTTGCCCCATGGTGATCCGGCCACGCTTGCCTGAGACATCCTCGGAACTCTGGGTTGCGAAATGCCCCGAGCTCAGGTGGTCAGGCCACTATCGCCTGCGACATCTCTGCGGCATGTGCGGGCATGTGCGTCTATGCTTTCAGAGTTTTGCTTGACCGTGCATTCGACTGTGCGTCGGACGGTGTGGCATGTGCGCGCATGTGCGGCAATGCTGTTGAGGCTTTTGTATATTTGCATGGGCATGTGCATGCGACTGTGCGGCATGTGCCTGCATGTGCGGCCCCTTCCGGACCACAATTTCAAAGTGAGCACTATAGAAGTGAGCGCTATAGAAGTGAGTCCGGTGTAGGTTTATGGGTTTATGGGTTGGCGGTCTCTGAGCTGGCGGCTCGCGCAGACCGGCCCGCCCTCCCGATCTGTTCCTCCCACTGGGGTCTCGGGCGCAAGCTCGAACGCGCATCGTGCTCTGACGTCAGCCTTGCCCGACCCCACCTGACCGTTGGCGACCGCCTGCCCAACCAGACTCGCCCGCAGGGCCTCCAGCGTGCCAGCGCGGTCACGCACCCTGTTTAAAGCGCTCTGCCCGCCCGGCCCGGTCCGCCCAGCGAGGGTCAGCCCCCCCGCCCCGATTCTTCCACTTGGGCTCTCGTGTGCCAGCTCGATTGCGAACCCCGCAAGAAAATGTCCCGCCGCTCGACCCGACAGCCTCGTGAAAGGTCCCACGGCCCGACGCGACCCGCCCGTCAGGGCTCTCGAGCGCCCGCCCGCCCCGACGCACCCGACCCGCCCGTTGGGGCACGCGCGTGCCGACCCGATGACGCACCATCCTTCAATGTCCCGCCCGCCCGACTCGACCCGTCCGCCAGGGCCCGCCCGACCAGGCCCGCCTCTTCGGGCACACGAGGTGCCAGTTCGATGGTGCATCCTATTTTGCCGTCGCGCCCGCGCGACCCGACCCGCCCGTGAAGGTCCGCCGCCCCAACCCGACCCGCCTGCCCGATCCGACCCGCCAGTTGGAGCACGCGCGTGCCAAATCGATGATGCACCAGAGTTTGAGGTACCGCCCGCCCGATCTGACCCGCCCGTTGGGGCACGCGCGTGCCAGCTCGATGATACATCATATTTTTATGCCACGCCCGCCCGACCCGACCCGCTTGTGAAGGTCCACCCGCCCGACCCGACCCGCCCGTTAGGGCACGCGCGTGCTGACCCGACGATGCGTCATATTTGAGTGTCCCGCTTGCCGGGCCCAGCCCGCCCGTGATGGGTCCGCCCGAACCGCCCGCCCGACCCGACCCGCCCGCCCGACCCGACCGGACCCGCCCGCCCGACCGGCCCGACCGACCGGACCCGCCCGTTGGAGTACACGCGTGCCAACCCGATGATGCACCATGCCTTCCTGTCCTGTCCGACCCGACCCGACTCGAGCGTTAGGGCGCGCGCGTGCCAACCCGATGATGACTCGACCCGTCCGCCAGGGTCCGCGAGCCCGACCAGGCCCGCCCATTCGGGCACGCGTGCCAGTTCGATGGTGCATTATACAAGAAAGGAAAAATGGAGGAGGAGAAGGAGGAAGAGGAGGAGGGCCAGTGCAATTCCAAGACTCATCAACGATACTGTGTAAACCCTCCCCACAGGTTTCTTTGTCACTGGCCCCATACGAGGATTCATTTTCACAGAGAGAAGTGCCCCGTTGGAAAACAACCGTTTGAAAATACAGAGGTGCGCCAGAGCACCATTCCTGGGACTCCAACGCCGCGAGTCACCGTTACTGTTGCGTCTAGGCGACC